ATAGGATAGAGCATACAGACCACTGATGGTAAATGGATGTTGTGGCCCATAGACTTCTACATTGTTCCTTGATTATGAATCAGAATCCCTGAGGACTAAGATGGAATGCCCCGTTTCCAGTTAAAACAGTATCTGATTTTCTACACTCACCATACGAAACACAGCAGCATTAAACTTCTATTTTACGCTAATATTCTGTGAGCGCGTGGTGCTTCTCCGGTCGGGCCCACCTATTAATGTTACAACCATAATATATCTGCAGCATGACTCTACTACATAAAATTGTTCAAAGTTCTTTAAAATGCCAGTAAAATACACAAAATTAATCTTCTATATTTACAAAAGAACGTTCATTATCCACAGGGTAAGCTGTAACTGTGTGGGGATCCAATTAATTCTGTTGGATGAGCGGCCAACGCAAATTTCCCGACTTTCTTTTATGAGAGTTCTGTGGCTGCCAGTGAAAGGTGCCGCTTTGCTACATCGATTTATAATTTCTTCAAATCATATTATTTATACATTTTATACAATACAACCTATAAAAACCCACTGCTGAACAAGGGCCTCCCATATGGATATTGCTTCAAAGGATAGGGATTTTGCCATAGTTGCCACGCTTCGCGGGTGATTTGGCAACTGCAATTTTTTATAATTTTGACTTATTATTAGGTAGATGTTGCTGCCCATCTTCAGTCATAAGACATCCAGAGGAAGATATGGGGTAAGGGATATTCTTTATTATTTATATATCCATATGTAATTATTATATACTTTTGACTCCATACTCGACCGTAAGAAAAATATAGTTTTAAAAAGAGAGGGAATATTAATATACAAGTTTTGGCTTGGTAGTGTCGTTATTTTCGCACGACGTACAAATAAATTTTTATACGTGGTAGAGCCACGCTGCAGCTATATTATGGTTGTAGCATGAATCGATCGACTCGATCGAGGAAGGACCAAGCTCTCACAGAATACAAGCGTAAAATAGCAACTCAATACTGTTGTGTTTCGAATGGTGAGTGTAGAGATCAGGAGACCCTTTTTTGCTGGAAACGAGGCATTCCATCTAAGTCCTCAGGGGTGACAATGCATTTGCGTTTTGATTCTCAATCGAGGATAAATGTAGATCTCTATGGGCCACAGCATCCACTTACCATCAGGTGGACTGTGTACTCGTTTGTCACCCTTTTTCTTTAAATAATCTCTTAAACAGAAAAGAGTCACTCTCCAAGCTAAACTAAACTTATACAATGACAGACAACTCAAGGGTTAACGTAACACGAGTATAAATGATCGACCTTGACTGGCTGTTGGTCTGGTGATCGTAAGCACGACTGCTGATCATGAAGTCCGGGTTTGAATACCGGGTCGGCTAAAATCAGTTATTGAGTCTTCTGTCAAGAAATTTCGAGTAGTAGCCCGGAGTCAGGAATTTGACAGTGGTTCACCATATTCTCGTAAAAAAAAATTCTACGAAGTGAAATTGGGGAAAAAGCGACATAATTAAGAAGCAAAATTACGCAATCGAGACAAAGTTTTCAGTGAAAATATTATTTTCTACTTAGTCCCACGTGATGGTAAGTGGTGATGTAGTCGAAGCTGATAAGCGCATTGACTTAGCTTTAAAGAGTGGAAATGCTATTGTTAAGCTGAGCTTAATGTGTGTCACACATTGTAATTCGTCGTCGATAAACCGTACGTTAGTGTCTAGAGTCATAAAATCAAAGAATTTGAAATGCTTAAAAAAAACCTTTGGCGCTCGACTTTCGAACAATTAAAATTCGTCCAAGTGGAAAACTCGTCGCCTAAATGCTTCACGTATTTGGCTTTCATGTGCCTTTGTGTTGATGCTGTCAAATAGGATATCACAATATGGTGTTTTATTAAATTAAACAATACTTTTCTTATTAGATTACCACCTAGTTTGATTACTTCTCTGCTTAGGAGCTCAGTTATATAGTTATAATAGTTTTTTTTTTCATAGAATCAATGAGACAAACGAGCAAACAGTCAACCTGATGGTAACTTGATGGTGTGCCGATAGACATCTACATGTATACTCCATTAACAACCGAAATGGACATGCGTAGCCCCTCTTTACTGGTAACGAAGCATTCCATCTTAGTCCTCAGGGGTGTCAACGCTTCCGATTTTGATTCTTAATCGAGGATAGATGTAAATTTCTACGGGCCACAGCATTCAATTACCATCAGGTGGATTGTGTTCTCGTGCGTGTTTTGTTTTTTATTTTATAAAAAAATTGATTCCGCTTATTTCATAAAAAACCATACAAAAATTGTTTCGTGTGTTATTAGAAGTCATTAACCAGACTATTTCCTTGAAACGTAGAGTGCCTTCTTTCAATATTCTTTCACTAAATATATTCCTTCTATATAATGACAGGCTATTTTCGTACACCCTATATATTAAGCGAGCAACTCTCGTATGTATATATCATATGTAATTATGTAATTTGCTGTTTCTTTCTAATTAGGTCACTGGGAACTGCTCTAAAAATTTATACATAGTTTTGTATATAGATAGTGTTTTACTTTCCACGTATCTAGATAAGTGTCAGGTGTCACCCTTCCGTTACTATCTCTACTGCTGAACATAAGCTTCCCCCCGTAGATTGCCACAATGAGGGAATATTTGACATAGTTGCCACTCTTGGCAAGCGGGTTGGCAACCGCAGTTTATATTATTAGGGAATAGTTTGAAGAGAGCTTACCCTCCTACCTACTCGTAGTATGGCTATTATGGCAAAGTAAAAATAATCCATTTGATTATTTATTGAATGAAACAATGAAAAAAGGAATTGATTAAAATTAGTTTAGATTAAGAATAATCACATAATATATCCCTTATTACTGAGATATTGTGATTCTTCAATCTCTCTTAATTTGTTGCCCTTGCAACGGTAGTGCAAGGTGCAAAGTGGCTGTACGACGTTATAATTACGTATTTATTAATTCATTTATTACAGTCTATAAAAGTCCACTGTTGAACTTAGTTCCTATCTATAGTTTGCCTCTGTCCTGGGAATGAGGTAATCGCCATCAATATATTTTTAATATGTTAAATGTTGTTAATTGTTTAACAGATTTATTGTTGGTTCTTCCCAGTACAGAGATATTTTTCGCACTTTCAAACATACGGGAGACGTATTATTTATTACCTATATTGAATTGAACAGTTTCTATTTCTATATCTATTCCTCATAAGGGAGATTTAGCCGTAGCTACTACGCTTTTCAAGCGGATTGACAACTGCATGTTTTTATGATTTTGGGTTGCCTACCTCTTATTACGGTTTCTGTCTGTTGCCACTTACATATTCACGGGACGATATGTGATAGTGGATATTCTTTCACCGCCACTTGACGGTTATGAAGTTTGTCTTAATTTTATTACGTATTTTTTTTAAAATATTTATCACATAGTTTTGCTATATATCATAAAACAGGGGTGACGCACCGGTCTTGAAAAATACAACGGTTACTACTATCAACTAATAACGGTAATACTAATACTATATACTAATGATAGTAGCATATAAATATATATATATATATATATATATATATATATATATATATATAATATGCTACTGTCATTATTTTGAAATGCCTATCTCTTGTTACAGTTTCTAATATTAGTATTGTTTGTCCATGTATTAAAATATCACGTATTCACATAGGGAACCTACTAAACTATAACGAGGCATTCCATCTTAGTCTTAAGGTGTTACAATGCACCTGCATTTAAGATGCAGTTTTTATGAGCTACAGCACTAAAGTATTTTTTTTCTGAAATTATATCTATAGGTTCGAATAGTGATTCTGATAACATGCTTAACAGGATCCACCGGGTTTTGGTTATATGTTGCATATAATAGTTGGTGCGTCTGTTAATGGTCTTGTAACTTCTGAACGACTTGACTCATAAAGGTCATATTTACACAATAAATTTTTTTGGATCGCTTATAGTTGTGCACTAAGATCTAAACGTGGTGTTGTAGTGAAGTTGTTAATAAATTATTTATTTACGGACCAACATTACTCATGTTCACTCTCACTCACTCAACTTATATTGGCTTTGTAAAAAAAGAAAAATTACAAAATCTGGATGCGATAGGTGGGACTGTGGTCGAGTATAAAATGACCGGAGTAAATTCAGAAAGACAGTGTTTCTGCCCTTGTATCAGTCTCCCAAGCCAGCTAATATATGTTATACGGAATGCTCTTATACTGAACGTATCGTAGCGGTGCATGAACATTCACTACCTGGTGGGAGTTGAAGAGGCAACAGAGAGAAACAAATCCGAGGGATTAGCAGCAACGTCTTCCAAATAGAAACTAAGAAATAAAAAATGCAGCTGCCAGCCAATTTAAAAAATGCCCCTGTGAAGCTCTCTATGGGGAAGTCTGCAGTCTGTGAACATGTACAGGATCGCCCCCGTCACTACATCAGATTTGATAGACCACAAATCCTCGCTAAAGAACACCGATTCCTTCCAAGGATGATTCGCGAGGCTATTGAAATCAAAAAACATCCTAATTTCAATAGAGAAGATGGCTGGGTGCTACCATCTGCTTGGGATCCTATAATAAATAAAATTAAATCCCAACCCAAGCATACAACTGCAAGACTCCATGATACCATAAGTTCATACTGTGTAGATCGGAACAAAAGTTAAATTTTAATCTATGGTAACCGCGGTTAACTATGACAGCTGGAAGTTGAACATCTCAGTCCTTCCCGAGACCATGGGTGCTGTAAAGCTCTCGAAACGTCGGGTAAAAAAGTTAAATATACGCGATAAATTCCGTAAAAATTAGTATTATTTCAAGGAGGCCTATGTTCTCTGATCATACTGGTTATCTTGTAGCTGGCCTAAAATAAATAGGGTATTTATATTTCATTAAAGGTAATTAAAAACCCAGTAGTTACATATTTAATTATTTTTATTTTTTAAACTATACTAAAATCTTAAAATCACTCATCTTCCAAATAAATTCTAGACATTTCTGTTTTAATGGAATTTCTTTGCTTGTCTTTAGTTTTCAAAGTTTGAATAAGTTTTAGTACAGATATTCTAAATTCTAACTTTGAGTCTTCTGAAAGTGATTTCACAGAAGATAGTACAGCTTTGAAGAACGATCTATCTTCGTCTTCCTCTTTCTCGATTAAATTTCCCAAAATTTGTAATGTACGGTTCTTTTCTACGGTTAAGGAATTATTTCCTTCGGATGCTAAGAAATTTTCTGATTCTGATCTATTAGTGCCAGATTCAAATATATCGTCTCCAACTTCTAAGAAAACTTCTTCTTGGAAGTGCCCTAAATTTTCGTCGTTATCAGAATGAGAGTCATCGGCATTTTTTAAAATACTCGTAATATTTGGCTCCGTTTCCGAGTTGCTTTGATCGCAATAAATGGGATCCAAAAATTTAAGTTGTTCAGCATACACGTACTTTTGCCGTTTGACTGCGAAATTTTTACACGTTTTTGCATATGCATCTCTAATGTTGTACCATTTCTTCGTAATCTGTGACCCTAAAAGAAAAACCAACTATTGATTACTGTGGTGGAACTCTTTTTCTGCCTCTTTCTTTAGCATCTGCCCCCTCTTTAGGGTATAGAGAGCCAGTATAATCACAGGCTTAAAGATATTCCATCTTAGTCGTGGTGACAACTCATCTGTATTATACAGATATTTGTTTGAAGTTAGTTACATGTATTCTTGGACTGCAGTAGCCATTATGAGTACCATCAGGTATACTGTTAGTTCATATGTCAAATAAGTTTTTGTAAAATAAAATAAAATTTATATTAAATTTATATATATATTATTAGAAGTACCCTTAACCGACGAGCATGTATGCGTAGATATATGGATGTAAAGGAGGCGAAAGAGATATGTCAGGAATCGTGCTAAATGGAATTCCGTAGTCTCTGCCTACCCCTCTGGGTGACAGGCGTGAGTGTTTATAAAAAAAATAACTCTCCACATTCGACAACGTTTTCTAAAACATATATCTTTCTCAACCGGATCTTATATATAAATAATACTGTTGGACTAATTAGAGTTACTAAATATAATAATTTATTTATATAAAGAATAATCATATACTACGCAATAGAAATATAATTTACAAACTATATAATATCTTATAATAAAACGATTAACAATATCGTGTTAACATGGTGAGCGCGAAACGAAGATAACATTTCTCAAGTGCAATTTGCTGCCACAGATTAAAATATACATATTATACGTACAAAACTATACACAAAAATAATATTTGTTAAAAAAAGAAAAATGATATTGAATAAAGTATGTAAACTTACTGTACAGCATAAGTCCAATGTTCATTTTGTAAAACTATTTCATTCATTCAATACCTCTTATGAAAATTCCACTCCTGAACATAGTCAAGCTGGATTATAGGGGATGTTTGCCATGGTTGTTATGCTTGGCACGCAGGTTGGATACTGCAGTTTTTTTTATTGTTTTAAGTTGATAACAGAAAGATTCTGTAGTCCATCTTCTTTAGGGATAATATCGGGTATTAAATTCCCTTACGCAAGCACTACTTGGCGCAGGTTAAAATAATACCAAAAAAATATTAGCTTTGCCTCTTATGTTCCTCCCTAATCCCAAAACATGAACTTGCAACTGAATTTTGATTACTAATCGAAGACATATAAAGGTGTTATGTGTGACTGCTGGACATATGCCTTCCCCAAGGAACACCACAAAGTGCGGTGCCGAGCCACCTGCAACCATTAGCTTCTTGCATGTCTAACCACGTCATCACCCCATCTAGTGAAGGGACGTCCTATACTTCGCCTGCCAGTACGAGTACTCTAGAAACTTTCTTCCCAAACGGTTCTCCGAGCTATATGGCCGGCCAATTGCCACTTCAGCCTACTAATCCGCTGGGCTATGTCGGTTACTCTATTTCTACTGCAGATATCCTCGTTTATAAGACTATCATGCAGAGAAACCCTGAGCTTAGTACCCTCCATAGCTCACTGAGCTACTTTGAGCTTTCTCATACGGACAGCAAGGAAGGACCACGTCTCAGATCCATAGTTCACAACTGGCAACACGCACTGGTTGTACAATCTAAAAACCTATTCAACTGCAGAGAGATGTAACACAGGATGATGTTTCATCCCCAAAACTCTTCACCGCTGCATTGGAAGACGTCTTCAAGCAACTGGACTGGATAGCATACGGTTTTAACATCAATGGCTAGTACATAACTTATCTTCGATTTGCCGACGATATAGTCCTTATAGCATGATCGCTGGGGGACCACTATGTTCAATGACTTCAATAGTGTCTCCCAATAGATAGGTCTTAAGATAAACATGGACGAAACAAAAGTCACGTGTAACATCCATGTCACACCTATGCCGGTAGTTGTTGGGAGCACTAAGCTCAAAGTTGTTGACGAGTATGTTTACCTGAGACAAATAGTCCCACTAGCTAAGTCCAACATCGACCGAGATGTAAATCGATGGATTCAACTCGGCTGGGCAGCGTTCGGAAAATTAGGACACATCTTCTCATCATGAATACCTCAAAACCTGAAAACAAGATTGTACAATCAGTGCGTGTTGCCAGTGATGACCTATGGATCTGAGATGTGGTCCTTCACTGCTGGCCGTATGAGGGCGCTCAAGTTCACTCAGCGAGCTATGGAGATGACTATGCTTGGAGTTTCGCATTGTAATAAATTTAAAAAACAGGATATCCGGACAACAATTAGTAAGCTGAAATGGCAATGGGCCAGCCATATAGCTCAAAGAACCGACAACCAATAAGGAAGAAAAGTTCTCAAGTGGCAGCCTCGTACCAGTAGGAGAAGTGTAGGGCGACCACCGACTAGATGGAGTGAAGACGTGTACCAGGTGTCGAGACATGCAGGAATTCGATAGATGCGTGTGGCTCAGTACTGTATTTTGTGGCATTCCTTGGGGGAGACCTATGTTCAGCAGTGCACTTATAAAGATCTATACCGACGATGATGATGATTAAATCTCCATCTGTGTATTCGATGCGCCACAGTATTCACTTACAAGGAGGTGGACTGTGTACTCATTTGTTACCTATAAATATTGAATAAAAATATCATGACATATATTCATACCAACATCCATTTTTTCGGATTCCTGTAGTTCGTGAAAATTTGGCTCAAACATCTTGTACACTTCTTTCCAAGCTATTTCTCGTTGCGCTCTGTCTCTGTAACTCATGCTCCTTCTGTCCCATAAGCATCTTTTGCCTTTTACCGCCTCAATAAGTTCCAATGTTGGCACGTTTCGTTTGCTACTATTTGGAGTGGACTGCATATATCTTTTTCTTTTCTTTTTCAACGAACTAAATGATCCGTACCAAGTCTGAAAATTTCATGTTAGTGCATAACCGGAAGAAAAGTTCTCGAAATACTAGTACCTGTAGACTAAGTATAGAGCGGCCCCCAAAAGATCGAGTGACGACCTGGTTATATATGCAGAAAGTTGATGTATGCGGTCGGCTCAGGACCGTGGCATCCTTTAGGAAAGCCTATGCTCGGCAGTGGACTTGTAAAGGGCTGTACTGGTGATAGTGATAACAGAAAATGTCATAAATTACTAGATGAAAAGGGACGTAACCTCTCCAAAGTAAGGCTGCCCTATCGGTAACCGAAGCAATTATTAATCACATAGGTCCAAAGAAAATGTTACGTCACCACAATCAGCAGTGTATCACATGCTGTGTTTCAGTTTATATTGCTCTTTCAATGATTTACATGACACCAATATATTGTCACCGACAAATCATCAAAAAGCATAAAATTCGCTATTACTACTACTACTACTACTGCCACAACATCGATCCCTTGTCGTTTAATGAAAAGAGAAAAAAGCTTTTAATGGTATGTAATGTTGAAGTATGATGGGGACTAAATATCGCACAGAAGCACAGGCCTCCTCTCATTTATGAGAGGGTTTTAGGATAATTAAGGGCCCGCCGCGCAGTCCCAATGCGTGTTGTCGAACTTCACATATCTTCGTAATATTTTTTTAAGTTATTTCTCAGACATGCAGGTTGTAAAAATAAAAAATAGGTTTAATTATAAGAAAGATTTGACATTTTATTCATTGAAGTTGATTATAGAGCCCATTGGCTGCAGTTACACTTATAATCAGGTGGACTGTTAGCACATTGTTCCTAATAAATCATAAAACATATTTTTATCAATTGAGTCCCATTCCTTCTGTAACGATATTCTTAAAAGCTAACGTAACTGATTTGGACAGTCTGTCTGTTGACAGTACGTTAAGACTGATTTATCTCCAGTTGTGTCGGATTGCCGTCTCGTCAGATTATGAGAATAAGGTAAAAGATAGTGCACCTGTGCTTGCACTCTCGTATACTCCTGAAATACACTCCTGTTTTACCTACAATGATGTTTAGTATCGCCCCACCACGCATTAATACTTTTGTCTTACTTACATCGGATTCCGGAGAATTTCTTAATTTAGATGTTTTAGTTTTAGTTTCTAAATCATCTTCCTCAATTTCGAGAAAAATCTCATCCCGATGTTTTGACGAGCTGTCTTCGTTATCTTCTGCAGAGTTACTGTCTTCTATGTTTAAGTTATTTTCTTCCATTTCAGAGTTATTGACCTTATAATAAATTGGATCTAAAAAACTGAGTAGTTCAGAATATACGTAATTTCGTTTACCACCACCGACTTTAAAACATTTTGCATACGCGTCTCTTATGTTGTACCATTTTTTCGTGACTTGGGACCCTATAAAATAAAAGAAAACAAAATAAACACCAGTAAGCGGGAAAAATATTTCTCGTGTAACATCCTTGAACTACAGAAACGCTGAGTATAGTTGCCTCCCACTAGATGGTGTGACAACTTTATAAGCTTCCATAGTTAAGGATGTTTCAGGACCGTAAATTTGTTTTTATGGCAATATCTGAGGGATGTTTACGTTAAAAAGTAGACTTATATCTAATGATGTAAATATTCAGTTTAAAGTTAAATCTGAGGTAGGGCCACGCTGCAACAATTTTCTCGTAGGTCAGTAAGCAGATTGAAAATTAAGTAGTTGGGCAGAAGCTTTTGGAATAACATTTCAAAAGTGAAATAACTGAACGTTTTTTATTCTTCTTATTATCAGTCTGCAGCATAACATATGAAGGGCCTATCCATCAGCACGTTTTGTCCCGTGGGTATCACAAGATAGATAATCGTAGATATCACTAAGGGGAAATCCGAATAAAAATATGGTTTTTGATAAATGGAAGTACGATGGGCAGCAGTGTTAAAGACGAAACTTTTTTTATTTTAGAATAAGGGTGACAAACGAGTCACACAGTCCACCCGATGATAAGTGGACGTTGTGACATAGACATCTATACTTGTGGTGGAGCTACGAGCCTAAGGTCGCCGAAGTCGAATTCCCCGGTCGAACCTTAAACCTATTACGCGAGATATTAATCAAAGTGGACTGTATCTTCGAAATGCTTCTACGCTTATATAACGACGACTATAGCGCGCGGTACAATGCACTCGCTCTTCCCTAAAAACGAACTATTATTTGCCAAATCGATAAAAGGAATCCTGCTTGATTAGGAGAAAAACAAATTGGAGCGGGTTAAAACACAATTTTATCAAGAAGGCAATATTATTAGGAATATTCACTCACCGGGGTGTTTCTTCTATGCTGTTGGGCACTATAGCTGCGACTTCTGGAACTTCTTCTAGAACTATTTTTCACACGGGGTGAGGCGGGTTTCCTGGAGCTCGACTGCTTCCAGGCTAAAGCGGTTCTACTTGCGGTGTGGTTTCAACAACGAGCGCGGCGGGAAGAGAGCTCTTTAGGACACTATTATCCTAGGCGGTGTAGTTCCAACGATGAGCGCGGCGGGAAGAGAGTGCGCGTCGGTCGCGCGTGCCGTTTATACCTTCGGTTGCGATGATTACGTGATATTCTAGAATCATCTTCTTTCCCCGCCCCCCCCACCACCCCGATGTGTCGATAGGAGGGTAGGAATGATATCGTTTTGGAAAGGGATAAGCGATTTGGCAGCCTACCGTTAAAATAAATAAATACGAATGGTTTTCCGCGCAACCCTTTTTGTTTTCAACAAACAATCAAAATGCTGATGCGTTGTCACTCCTGAGGATTAAGATAGAATACCTTGTTTCCAGTTAAAAAAGGTTGCTAAGCGTGACAATTAAAGCTAATTCTCCCTGCAATGAACGAAAATCATATCCAGCGTGGACTCACTCATCAGCCTGCATGAAACACTACCATTTATCAGACTCGCATCTTACGTCACCGACACCACCAAACTGGTTGATGGATACTACTTATCCTGCAGCCTATCAAAGGTCCTCGGCTGAATATAGATCTGATCCACTAATAGCCGCACAGGGAGGTTATAAGCCATGATTATCACGCTCGGCAGTTTTTATTATTATTTTAAGTTGTTATCAGGACAGTTTTGCTGCCCATCTTCTGTTTAATATCCCTTTTCAGCTTACGAAACCCAAGCGATGACATAGAGAAATTGGAGTTTCTTATGCAGTAAGTTCTGTAAGTGTTGGAACAAATGTCTTTAGGTATGAGCGGCAGGAGGAGGCCTATGGTCACCTGTGTGTGTAGACTTTTAATCGGTTGTAACAGTAATGGTAGTCAAGAGCTAAACACTTGCAGTAAATTTCACAGCGCTCGACGCCAGCGGTACGTTGTAAGTGCTGATATAATCGTGCTCGGTGGTGATGGAAAACCTCGTGATGAAACCTTCCTCTTTGCCAAGCACGTATATAGTATACAAAGTAAACAATTCAAAAATAATTTTACCGATTTCAGTTTGTTCACTTTCCTGCAGCATGTCGTAATTTGGCTCAAACACTTTGTACACTTCTTTCCAAGCCTGGTCTCGTTTTACCCTATCCTTGTAATGTATGCTATTTCGGTCCCACAAGCATCTTTTTTCCTTCATGGTGTTAATCAGGTCCGTTGTTGGCACTTTCAATTTGCTATTTGTGATGAATGCCATGGTTGATTTCCTCTTGCTTAGAGATTAATTGAAAATTACCACAACGAAACTGCAATATTCAAAAACTTATCAGCCTGTTACCAAGAAATCACTGGTAGTATTAAAACGTGGTAGAGACATGCTGCACTACACGTTTGCAATAATAGTACGCTGTTACCTTTGTGGAGTAAAATGGGATACCCCCGCAGTCATTAATTATACCGGATATACCATTCAACTACTCTATACCATTCAACTACTTTATACCATACAACCGGAGCAAAATAGTGCAAGCAATGTCTACCTACGGACGGGCTCCTAAACGGAATAGGAGTCCTACCACCTAACTATAACCTGACTAATAGCTTTTTGTTGCTGCATCACAAAAAAGGGAGTGACTATCCTCACATCTTAGGCTCTCTCAGAATAATTTAATATAATTGCAGCATAAGGCTTCTGTATTTCGTATGGTATGAATGAGAATTGGAGAATATTTTTACAAGTAACCCGATAGGAATTATATCTCAACAGTAACCTCACATTTTTTTTCTATTAATCGATAGGTCTCCATAAACCACAACGTCCACTTACCGTCAGTTGGACAGTGCTATTAATTGTGTTATCCTTTCTTGTATTGATTACAAATCATCAATATAGCCCAATGGGTCAGTAAGCTAAAGTGTCAATTAAAACTGATAATTTTCCCCTCACATGATGTTGCTAGTTGAAACTGAGGTGAAGTCATCTATTGCACAGTGTAACCTTATGTGAAAAGATGTGTTTCAAAAAAAATGTTTTTTTATAGGATAGGGTGACAAACGAGCACATAGTCCACCTGATGGTAAGTGGTTGTTGCGGCCCATAGACATCTACATCTATCCTCGATTACAAATCAAAATGCAGATAGGTTGTAACCCGTGATGACTAAGATGGAATGCCTAGGTTCCAGTAAAAAGGGTCTCCGGTACTGTACACTCACCATACTAAGCACAGCAGCATTAAGCTACTATTTTACGCTGGTATTCTGTGAGAGCGTGGTCCTTCCCCGGTCGAGCCGACCTATTCGTGCTACAACTATACTACTAATAATGAAATGTATGAAATGGGATAATGTGAAAATAACTTATAGAACATATATATATATATATATATATATATATATATATATATATATATATATATATATATATATATAAGTTATAAATAAACTTATAGAAATTTATAGAATAAACATTAACCTTTATTTTTCCCTTCCTTTTTTGTTCAATTTAACCTCCCGTCCATGAAATCCTCACTCCTAAGATGAACCACCCTGGTGGCAGATAATTTTGTGTAACAACCGACCCTCACTATATAACAACCGATGCGGAAGAAACTTTCTCGAGTAAAAGCTTCCTATCCATAAGCAAAGTGTTGTGCGGCCACCAATTAGATGGAGTGACGACCTGGTAAGACATGCAGGATGTCGATGAATGCAAGTCATTCAGGACAGTGTTTTATAGCATTCCATGAGCCGGGGATTCCAACGTTCGCAATTGGACTTAATAAGCTATAATAGATGATTATAACCTGTATACAGCCTACGAATGAATAACAGTATCTTCTCATATCACTGTTCGCTAAATTATTGCGTCAAAGGATATAGTTCATTAGAGGGTGGTATCAATATAACACATTAATTTCCTGGTACATTTATTTACTAATAATTGTTATCGACGCCACAAGCCTACGGCGGTATCGTCATGATCCGGAAATTGAAAACGAATATTATATTCCATGTCCAATTTTTATTTTAATATTCCATATGTGTTCAGTAGTAGGTAGTTCCGTTTCGGCCTATGAGTCAGTCAAACAGCAGTGCATACGGTGCTGTGGTCCGACCTGAAGGGTATAGAGTCAGTATAGTTACAGGATGTGAGGCATTCCATCTTAGTCCTCAGAGGTATGTAGCCTTCTTTGTTTGAAGTTGGCTGCGGGTGTCCAAGGACAGCAGTAGCACTTGCCGGCCGAGTGCAAGTTTGTTGGTCACTCATTTTTTTCAAGCAATCATATTATTATTTCAAAACAATTGATCACTTATTTTTATACACATAGCCTACTATATTGTTACAATAACAAACCGACAAAATACGTTCATTTATGATCGTGGAGTAGATGAATATAGAATAATGATTTCTTATATTTACGCGAACACTATACATTCATTGAAACTAATTTTTAATTTACTTTTAATTATTTTTATTTTTAATTCCCGACGTTTCGTTTCGTCTGTCCCCGTGACCATGGGTGCGCTGGAAAGCATCCGAAACGTCGGGAATTAAAAATAAAAATTATTAAAAGTAAATAAACGCGATAAAATCCGTAAAAGTAGTTTTAATCAATGAATATTGAATAAGCTCACAAACGAGCACACATTCCACCTCATGGAAAGTGTATAATTTGGCCCATAGACATCTAATTCAGATGCGATGTTATCCTTGGGGACTAAGATAAAATGGCTGCAGTAAAAGCACTCTGTACTTACCATACAAACGCTGTTATTTTACGCTGGTATTATGTAAAGAGTGGTCCTGCACCGGTTGAGCCGATTCATTCGTGCTACAACCGTAATACAGCTGTAGCGTGGCTCTAAAGTAACAATAATAATAATAATAATAATTAATTTAGCAATTCCATTGGAATGGAGCTTGGGACGGATAAGTGTGCGGTCCTCCATGTTGAAAGGGGAAGGGTTGCTAACTCTGAGGGCGTAGACTTATCTATGCCCGTCAACTTAAGGACCCTTTCCGAGGCTGAAACATACCGATACCACATACCGATAGGATGCATCATCCGAGATCGTCGGTAATGAGGCTGTACTTGTCGCGGAAGCATGGTGATCGTGGCTTCTTGAGCGCGCTCACCATGCATAATCGCGAAGTGTGCAGCCTCCGTGATTACTTCCTGGCGAGATCGGATGATCCATTCTAGAAGTACGTCATTTCTTGTGATAAAGGACTTACCCCTCTATCCTTAGCCAACGAGCAATGGCAAGACCCGGCAGTGCAGAGCATTTCTGACCGGGAGACCGTATGGAAGGAGAAGGAGCTCCACGGGAGGTTCTACAAGGCTCTACATGAGCCTTTCGTAGACACAGTAGCCTCCCTCCACTGGCTACGCTTTGGTGATCTCTTCGGGGAAACCGAGGGTTTTGTCTGTGCAATACAGGATCAGGTTATTAAGATCAACAACTATCGGAGATACATCCTAAAGGATGGCACCATCGACATCTGTCGAGCTTGTCGCCATCCCGGTGAATCACTTAGGCATGTTATCTCCGGTTGTTCGGCGCTTTCTAACTCTGAGTACTTGCACAGGCACAACCTAGTAGCCAGAATTCTACACCAGGAGCTCGCTCTGAAATACGGTTTCGTGGATCGGAAGTTGCCGTATTACAAGTACTTGCCGGAAGCCGTGCTCGAAAATGATCGCGCCAGGCTCTATTGGGACCGGGCCATCATCACAGACAGGACTATTCTTGCGAATAAGCCTGATATTGTGCTGATGGACCGGGCACAGTCAAGGATATTTTTGGTCGACATTACCATTCCGTATGACGAGAACCTCGTGAAAGCCGAAACAGAGAAGCAAACAAAATATCTGGACCTGGCTCACGAGGTGACCGACATGTGGGGTGGTATGCCGACCGAAATTATTCCTGTAGTCGTCTCTGCAAACGGGCTAATCCCAGTCAGCCTCTCGGGTAATCTGAGGCGGCTGGGACTACGTGGCGGACCGCTCCAGGCTCAAATGCAGATGGCGGTGTTCTCCTCGATACCGCCCGCATCGTCCGCCGGTTTCTTTCCCTTTCCCCCTAACCCTCGGCCGTTTGGTCTCCCCTGCCGAGGGCTTCCATCTGGTTGGGCTTTTATTTATTTATGTATTTTTTTTATTTATTTTATTTTATTGATATTTATGTATATTTATCTTTTCATTTTCGTTTATAATTATATATTTATACATCCCAACCAGATGAGAAAACTATATAGATACCCCACATAATAATAATAATCTTTATTTGCAAGAACATGGTTGTACAATGGTGTTTGAGTATAATTCGTTCTACATATTCCACCTTAGTTGTGTGCAAATATTAATGGTCAAGTAACCTAAACAACAATACTTATCAAATTTAACAACATATATTAATTTTTTTTTTTTTTTTATAGAAGAGGGGGGCAAACGAGCATGTGGCTCACCTGATGTTAAGTGACTACCGCCGCCCATGATCAACCGCAACACCAGGGGAATTGCAGGTGCGTTGCCGGCCCTTTAGAAAGGAGTAAGCTCTTTTCTTGAAGGTCCCCAGGTCGTATCGGTCCGGAAAAATCACCGGTGGTAAATTATTCCACAGAGAGGTTGTACGCGGAAGAAAACTCCTTTTGAAACGTACAGTGGTGGACCGCCAAGCATCCAGATGGTGTGGATGGTATCGGGACGTTTGCCGTGTAGTGCGTTCACGAAATTTGGCGGCTGGGATTAATCCGAACAATTCCTCAGAGCACTCCCCGTGATAGATGCGATAAAATACGCAAAGAGATGCAACATCTCTTCGCAGCGCCAGTGAATCGAGCCGATCGGAAAGCACTCGGTCGTCAACGATTCGAGCCGCTCTGCGCTGGATGCGGTCAAGTGGAAGGAGCTGGTACTGGGGAGCCCCAGCCCAGAGATGGGAACAGTATTCCATGAGCGGCCGAACCTGCGCCTTGTAAAGTTGCAGGCGGTGTGCCGGCATGAAATACTGTCCCGCTCTGCTGAGCACGCCAAGCTTTTTAGAGGCCAATTTGGCCTTCCCTTCCAAGTGACCACGAAACTGCACGTCACTCGATATGTCGACGCCGAGGATTCCGATACTGGCTGAGGCAACAAGGGGAGTGCCTTGAAACTGACAAAATATAAAATTATTTAATATATTTACTTGATTTGATAATTAATTTATTATGCCACAGTGTCAGAAAAAATATAAGTAAGTATTATTATAT